CATAAAGAACCACTCATGTAGCCAGGGATGGTAGCACATGCCTGTAATCCCAGTGGCTCAGGAGGCTGAGACAAGAGGATGGCAAGTTCAGAGCCAGCTTCAGCAGTTTAGTGAGGCCCTAAGCAACTCATTGAGACCCTGTCTCTAAATCAAATACAAAAAAAGGGCTAGGATGTGGCTCAGTGGTTGAGTGCCCCTGGGTTCAATCCCCAGTACCAAACAAACAAACAAACAAACAAAAAACACTCGTGAGCACAAAACACCTTGGAAACCAGGGAACACAAATTGGTCTCAGCTAGATTTTCTTATATCCTGCTGGTGACCTAGGCATATTCTTCCTATGAGGTCAGCCCCAAACACTGTGGGTTTCATGGGTCTCAGTGAGACCAGGGAAAAATGGTCATTTGTTACTGTTAGCAATAAACAGTGGTGATAACCTGTAATCTGTGGTTACACGTCAATGCAGTAAATCACTTCTTTTCATTGCTTTGACCATTGTGCACTGTAGATATTTTAGCAAAAGATCTAGTGCTGACCTAGAATTAACCCTCCCAGCACAATTGACTTTTTTTTTTTCAATAACAATTGACTTTCTTTAGGTGTAGACTTACCTGGAAAGTCCTTCATATTTAAGTAGAAGCTGACCAAAGAATGGTGTGATATCAATAATGATTTCCTCTTTCCACAAGTACCTTCTGTTGCCTGGGCAAGAAAAGTCAGCAAATACATAGAAGTTCTTCCACCATTACTGTGTGTCAATAGAGTATCAATGTTGGGAGCTTGGAGTTAAGTGGACACTATGGGGCATTTTTTCACCACTAACCAACTTTTGGTGTGTCTGTGTGTGTCTCTGTCTCTGTCTCTGTCTCTGTCTCTCTTTCTCTCTCTCTCTCATCATTAGTATGGAATGTAGAAGGGTTTTCCTTTTCTCTAAAGTCATTGAGGAAATCTTCTGACATCTACCTTCCTTTTCATATGAACTTCCATGAGAGTTCAGAAAACCTGGGTATCCTGCCATAATACCCAAAACAGGTCTCCATATCTCTGATCTCAGTTTTTTCAACTACAAAATGATTTTAAACATACCTTCTAACTGTGAAAGTTGTGAATCTGTAAAAACAAATTATTAAAATCAGCTCCTTATTTGTGGCATACATATAAAGGTATAGAGTTATCTAGAATTATCCCTTGAATCTAGAAGGTTAAGAGGATGATTAGGCACAATCAGAGCTTCAGGAACCACTTGTGGGGTCCTTGTGCTTAAGCCCTCCCTCCCAATATATTGTCTGCCTTTTCTATACAAAGAAAATTCTTCTCTTTTTCTTTCTTTCTTCTTTTTTTTTTTTTTAAATTTGTACCAGGGATTGAACCCAGGTGCATTCAACCACTGAGCCACATTCTCAGCCCTTTTTAAAATTTATTTTGAGACAGGTTCTTGCTAAGTTGCTTAGGGCTTTCCTAAGTTGCTGAGGGTGGCTTTGAAGTTGCAATCCTCTTGCTTCAGCCTCCCAAGACAATAGGATAACAGTCGTATGCCAGTGTCCCCAGCTATACAAAGAACATTCTGAAGGGCCAGTCATTTTTGTCCTCTCTCCACCCTTTCTCACCCCTACCAACCATCAGGTATGAGTGATGCCCTAACATGGTCCTATTCTTTAATAGCATCAAAGCCTGTAGCATTGTCTTCTATTAAAATATTTTTTGTAAGAGGCCATATTATAATATTAGGCTTTTATATTTTTATAGCTTTCAAAATATATCCCTTAGTGAATATACTAAAGGAGGTGTGTGTGTGTGTGTGTGTGTGTGTGTGTGTGTGTGTGTGTGTGTGTAGATTTCAAATGGAGATTTATAGCTTGAGGAAAAAGGATAGTTTCACACATTGTGTCTGCTGGTTGTTTATAGAGGCTTCCAGAAACTGCTAATCATTACTATGTATAAAATTTCATTAAAAAATCACCACATTAGCCTGGTACAGTGATACATGCTGTAATACCAGCTTACTCATGAGGTGAAGGCAGGAGGATCGAAAGTTTGAGGCCAGCCTAAGCAACTTAGGAAGACCTTTTTTTCAAAGGAAAAAAAAATAAAAAGGGCTTGGGACGTAGCTCAGTGGTAGCACTCCCCTGGGTTCAATCCCCAAGAACCCCTGCTCCCCCCCAAACCCCCCACAACTGCATGTATTCTTTGAGACACTCATTTTAAGCAGGAAGTGTATGTCCATGTAGCATTTGAATTCTCTTTGTCAACTTTCCCACCTCATTTCAGGTCATCCATAGCATGAGCTATGTATACCCTAAATAGAAGTCTTTTAAAAGCTGTTCCATGAAAGCAAAATTCTGTTTGATATGTTTGTTTTGGGTAATGTGGTCTTCAGCCTTCTGTGACGGATTGTTCTTATGTTGAACCACATCCAGTTTTAGCAGAGCACACTGCATAGTATTTCTCTCGTGTGTCATCTTCTGCTCCTGTTATTTCATAGCAATTGCCTTGCTCCCCTCTGGAGCTATTTATACTCCAAATTTTCTGTTCTGTGTGTTACCCATTCACCTGTGCAGAGATAAGAGTAGACCCAATAAAATGAAACTCACACAATTTTGCTGTTTGTTTCCATCACATGGGTACATTAGATTCATAAAAAAAAAAGTGAGCCTAAAAGTTCTCACTTGTTAGTTCTTATATCCTTAGATCTAAAGCAAACTATTTACAATGATTAAAGCAGAGTGACCAAAAAAATTTAAAAAACTTCAAACTACCCACAGCTACCTTTAGTATATAAAGAAACACGTTAGCAATATTGGTATTTGAAAGAAATCCATTCCTCTCCTCCAATAATAGAACTAGTATGCTGTATTCTGAATGTTCTCCTGACCTGCACTTAAAAAATGTGCTCTCTGAGGAAGTTAAGCACACAGAAGAGAGGATGAAAAGTTTTAGTCTTTTGTCCCTCCCATGCAGTCCCTATTCGGCTTTCCCCTCCTTAGATTCTCCTGCTTCTTTTCCTCTACCTGACTCCTTCTCACATCAGTCTCCAAAGTTCTGTTCTTATCTGCCAGTTTAAACAATCTTAGATTCAATGAAAAGAGATCACTTTTTTTATCTTCAGAGTATAGTTGTGTACTGTATAATGATGGACAGCATATGTGACAGTGGCCCAATAAGATTATACCATCTAGTGATGTTGTAGTCTTTTTAATTTATGTAAGAACACTGTATGATGTTCACATAGCAAGGAAATCACCTAATGGGGCTTTTGTTCAGAATATATTACTGTCAGCTGGGCGCAGTGCGGAACACCTGTTATCCCAGTGGCTCTGGAGGCTGCAGCAGGAGGATCACAAGTTCAAAGCCAGCCCCAGCGATTTAGCAAGGCCCTAAGCAACTTAGTGAGACTCTGTCTCTAAATGAAAAAATAAAAAGGACTTGGGATATGGTTCAGTGGTTAAGTGCTCCTGGGTTCAATCCCTAGCACACATACAAAATAATATATCCCTGTCTTTAAGCAGCACATGACTGTATTTTAAAACAAAAGTGTCTGGGTGTACCTCAGTGTCAGAGCACTTTTCTCACATGTGCAAGGCCCTTGGTTCTACCCCCAGCATGCCCCCCCCACCAAAAAAAAGAAAACAAAAAGAAGAGGGCTTTTCCTTCCATAGGATGGGTGCTAATCCAATAGATTTTAGGGAAACTGGTGGTCTGTGAGGACATAGAGTTTTGGGGTTCAGACCACAGCACCACTAAGAGCACAGAGTTTCACTCATGGGGGTGAAAAACAGAAAAATACCTCCTGCTTCTGCCACCAGGTCATGATCCCAGGAAAACTCTAGAATTTTTTATTTTCCTTTCTCAAAAGAGAAAAATGTGTACTACTACATAAGTATTAACCACTGTTTTTGGTTTTATTCTTAGTATTTAATTAGAAGTGGCCACAAGTAACTGGTAAAATACATGATATAGTCCTAAATTTGCATTTCTTCATTATTGGGAAAGCTGTTTACTGACTAGAATGACCTGTTGTTTATCTGAAGTTGCTTTTATAATTGTCGTGCCCCTTCCCCTTAGATGTCTGAGAGATGTACTTAATTATTATTGATTCTTTGTCTCAAAGGACCGAGAATTCTGACCAGTGCTTATGTGTTTAGGGGGTGTAAAATAGCAATGTGTTGCATTTCCACTTTGGCTAATAAATTGGCTTTGGAAAGAAGCATCTTTTTTATGCACCTGGGACTAAAGCTTGTGATTTGATGATATTGGACAAGGTTGAAGTTTCACTTTTGCAAAAATTTTGTCTTTTAGCATATGATTAAATATTACCTCGGATCAAAGTACCCCCTCCTTACCTTGGAAGTTCTTGGAGGACTTGAAAAGTACATTGTAAAATACAGTTTGAAGGTGAAAGGAGAAATAAATGTGCCTTAGGCCTGAAAACTGGATATAATGTGCAGTTCCTTTCTTTTGCTTATAGAAAGTGTTAGTGGAGTTGATTATTTTTTTAGTTAATGTTAAGGGAGCAGGGAGATGCTGAGATGACTACTATTTCAAGGAGAGAAATGCTTAATGACTATAAATGTATAGCTAGAAATAGAGTTTACACAACCTTAGCCATACAGATTAATCTAACTGACCTCCTCTAATACTATCACAAGAAAGTGTTGTTAGGATCTCTTTGAAAATCTCTAATAGAACATTGTTTTGCTTATTCAGGTGGAAATGGCTCTGTTGGCACATAGAAAAGGCTGGGTCCCCTTGGCTCTCAAATAACCCCCTATAGTGCAGGGAAGGGAACTGTCTCTTTGCCCACATCTTCACCCAAGGCCAGTGAGAGTTGAGAACAACCTCAGATTCTGAATGATGAAACTAGAACACCTTTGAAGACTGTGGAGTTCAGGTCTGGTGTTTACTACAGGGTACCATCTTGACTAGGATTTTCAAGGGAAAACAAAGGACTGTAAAAGGAATGTTTTATGCTTTGAATCATCTGTGATTTTATGTTTTTACAGTGGATCTCTTGAGCTTGTCAGCTGCATGTGATGCTTTGGACCAGCACAACCTCAAGCAAAATGACCAGCCCATGGATATCCTGCAGATCATTAATTGTTTGACCACCATTTATGATCGCCTGGAGCAAGAGCACAACAACTTGGTCAATGTCCCTCTCTGTGTGGATATGTGTCTCAACTGGCTACTGAATGTTTATGATACGTACGTATGGCAAGTATTTTGGGGGGCATTGTCACAGGAGAACTAGCTTACACAGTGGTGATGGTGTAATTAGTATTACAATAAGGTCTCTGTGATAATTATTTCTGCCTTTATCTGAATGGAAAAAATATTTTGATAAGCTAGGAAGTAAGAACTAGAATGTAGATAGCTTTCAGATTAGAAAGCAAATAAAACCATGAGATACTCATGTTTGAAACAGTAGAATGAGTCACTGTGTATCCACTGGTTCTTTCCCTTTCTCACCAATGTCTTCTGGAATCCTTTGGGGTTGGTCCCTCTCACTGACAGGAATGATTATGTTCCTGGAGATGCTGGTATACCTGTCACCAGATCAGAATTTTCTCAGCTAACATTTTGCAGATTATGAATTGAGAAGCCAAACACAATGAAAAATAAACTCTTAATACTGCAACCTCACCCCCTCAAACTGAGGGAGATTTTGTTTTGTATTTTATTAAGTTTTTACAAAGTCTCAGCTAGGGACCCTCATTCTTCACTCTTTCTCAGAGAGCAGTTATTTCTTTTGGATTGTCTGCAGGAGATATCTCCAGTTCTAATTTTTGTCTTTGGTTCAATGAAGACAATTGAGGAAGGAAGCAGAAGAAATTGGTCTTGATTTCCATTGAATTCTTCTTCAACCTCAAAATTATAACATGTCTTCTCATTTCACACATCAACCAGAACATTATTCCTACTTGAAAATCTGGGAAGGTTTTATTGAAAGGAGATGTACATCAACCATTCTGCCTTTTGCTTTTTTTTGGAGACTTCTACCACTTCCTTCATTAAGATTTATACTCTTTTCTTTGTTATTTTGATAAGGTGTGACTTTTTAAATTTCAGAGCCATCTAATTATTTGGTTCATAATTATCTACTAAATCCTTGAACATGTTGGATTTTAATTGTGGATTACATTTACATTTATTTTTAGGAGGGTTTGTACTCAGATCTTTCCGCAGATATATTTTGGCACCCTTTTCTTGGCAGATGACATGTGAATGGATTTTAAATATATGACTTTTATTCTACCTTCATGAAAATTATTTGGGGATAATTTTAACTCTTTGAAGACCTAAGTTACTTTATTTATTTGTTAAACTTTGATTTTCCTGTACTTACAATAGAAAAATATTAAAAAAAAAATTCCAGTGATGGGAATTTTGTTAATGATTAGGGTCCAGTATATCTCTTTACCAAGGGATTTAATAAGTTGTACTTGTTGAAAATAGAATATATTGGCCACCAAAAATATCAATATCTGAGGCACAGTAGCTTTTCATAATCAAATAGGAAGCTGAAAAATTATTGAACGAGGGGCTAGGGATATAGCTCAGTTGTTAGAGTACCAAGGCTGATCTCGAATTTTTGATCCTCTTTCTCAGTCTCCTTAGTGGGTGGGATTATAGACATGTGCCACTGTGTCCAGCTGTATTTCAGCTTCTTTATATAAAATGAAAGCTCTTATAGAGTCCATATTTGAATGCTATCTAATAGAATGTATCATATTTATAGATATTATTATTTGGGGATAAACATTCATAATTTAGTGTCATGTGGCCTGGAGTGATTAATATACTTAATAAGGAGTAATTTGATGAAAATTTGAGAGTGTTAAAGAGAGCAGAGAAGTTATTTGCTGGTAATTTGCTTCAGTAACCAACATAGTTTAATGCGTAGTTGTAATTCTTCCACTTAATCCAAAGTAGGCTCTTCAGAGGTGTAGATTAATATATTTTCCCCTATTTCATGCAGAGCTACTCTAATAATTCAAATAAAGCTTTAGGAATTAAAAACTTGGTAAATAATTTAGTTCAGAAAAATTCCATTTAATTTTGGATCATGAGCAAATAGATGATGAACTCAAGAAAAGTTCTTAATTTTTTTTTCTTAATTTAAAAAATATTTTTTTAGTTGTAGATGGACACAATACCTTTATTTTGTTTATTTATTTTATGTGGTTCTGGGGATCAAACCCAGGGCCTCACACATGCTAGGCAAGTGCTCTACCACTGAGCCACAACCCCAGCCCTTGATTTGTTTTTTAAAAATCTTAATAGACCAATGGTCAGTAGAGTTTCCATATCCAGGACATTTTTTTTTAAATTAGAACTCTTTACCCTCTAGTAAAATATAAGTAATTGTTTTCTGGTTTGATTCTTCATAATAGGGGACGAACAGGGAGGATCCGGGTCCTGTCTTTTAAAACTGGCATCATTTCTCTGTGTAAAGCACATTTGGAAGACAAGTACAGATGTAAGTCATGTATATTAACTCTGTATTCTTTTATTGATGTTGGCTAATTACCCTAGTTCTAGATGGGAAATGACATACTGTTCTTATTTGACAGCAGGTTCCTCATGTAAGATGTAGAACTGCTTTTAGAGTGTCATAAAATTTGGTTTGTGCCATTCCCTGTCAAACATTAAATTGCAGGTATTTAAATAGAGAACGAGGATTAGCTTCTCCAGGCCGAGTATTATTTTACATTACATTGACTGTGCCTGAATGAAACACGTGTTTGTAGGGGATAAAGTCTGATTTCCTAACCCTTTGTATAAGTCAGAAAAATAAATGTGAAAGTTTAATCCCTGCACTTGCCTCATCTTTGGATTCTTATTTAAAGAATACTATCTGGCATTCAAGCTCAAGAAACATTGTTTATTTTATAATCATCTTACTGCAAGTTGTACTGACACATCCAATTCAGTGATGTGACTAAATTTTATTGTTCTGGAGACAGATAGCTTGCCATTTCTTAAAGAGTAAATACCACCCTACAGAATTTTATTTTGATTAGCCATTGGGTTCTTTTGCTTTGAAAAGTGTAAATCTAAATTAAAAGCAAATGCTAGAGGAGTGATGATTTAATGACCAAGTGACCACCCATTCCTACTGTAAAGGATTGTACTTATTTTTCTCCTTTAAATACTTATAAGAAGTCTTTTCAAGAGGAACATTAAACAGTCTATCTTGTCTTCTGCCTTTTTCCCTAAGGCCTAGCACATGTGGATGAGATGTGCTGAACTTAAGAACAGGCAAGAGACAAAAGAGACTGAATCCTTCCATAGCCACTCTGTGTCCTTGTACTCATTTCTCATCAAAATACACAAACTGTTTCCAATTCCACTTTTATGTAGTTTCTACTTGGGTTTTCTCATCCTGAGACCCAAAATAAATAAATAAGTAAATGAAAATAACTAAACAACTTTTCTTAACCCTTTATGGATTATTTTGGATAAAACATTGTTTCCTTGTGCTTGCTGCCTTTAAATATTGTAGCTACTTATTGTAAGGTTTTTTGGTTTTGTTGAGTTGGAGGTCTTAATGTTTTACCCAAGCTAGCCTTGAACTCCTCGGCTCAAATGAACTTCGTCTCTCAGCCTCCCCAGTAACTGGGAGGGCATATGCCACCATGTCTAGCTATGTTAGTTTATATTCTGACTTTACCCATGGCATGGTACCAGTGCATTGTTCATACTAAATTTTAATTGTCAAAGGAGCTTTGATCTTCTGTTTCCTATAATTACTAACAGAGAACATTTTGAGATAAGTGGAAAAAATATTAATCTTTGAAGTAAGATATTTGAAAATAATTTTTCATTTTGCAGAAAAATGTATGTGTTTTAGAGAGATGCTAAAAAGCTGTGCATGTTGTTTCCATTTTATTATTGCCACTTTAGCTGTCTTGTTAAAATATTTAATTCCATAGAGTGTACTTATGGGTACAAAAAACTTTTTAGGTTTTTTTAAAATTGGCATCTTCAATGTGAATATAAAGTATGATTTAAATAATTTTGTTTATGCAAACAAAACATAAATTATTAGTCTTTGATATGTTCATCCATATTTTTAGCCACGTGCATTGGGCATCAGCTTCAATCTGATATTCCTGTTCTGTTCTAGAAGCTTCTGGCACACAGTTGACTAAGATATGTTCCTTGCCTTCAAGGGAACATCAATTTTTAATAAAAAAGAAATAACATTAAATCATTGACAGTAGAGCAGGATATGAGTTAACTATAAATAGGCACAGGGTTCCACTACATACATGATGGAATAGAAGTTCAATGATCTTTTAACTCCATAAAGAAGTCCCAATTTTTTCACATTTTTGAATTTCTGATGCTTAAAGGAGATGATGATGCTTTGGACTAGAGGTTGATTCAGGGCCTTATGCACGCTAGGCAAACACTCTATAACTTAAGCTGTATCCCCAGCCTTTTCTTATTTTATTTTGAGACAGACCAGATTGCCCAGGCTGACTTTGAATTTGCAATCCTCCTGCATACCTGGGATTACAGGCATGTGCCACTGTGCATGGTCATATGGTTCTTAAAGCTAAAAAGTTTATTATAGTTGTTACGTCCTTTTTATGTACATATAATAGTACCCAAAAGATTGTGTTTTGCCTTAGGAACAATTCAGGCATTAAGATCACATTTAAACTTAAAATTCCTTGCAGGGTTATAGTTGATTTAAAAGTTGTCATCCTTCACATACACATAGTGATGATTAACTTCATCTATAAAAATATGTCTAGATTAGCATAAATTAGAAGTAAACCCTCTCTGTGGGAATATTGACTACTCTTGAGAGTTTGCACTGAAATTGAATTGGACGTTAGGTTTCATTGTTGCAATTCTCTTCTTCTTTTATAGACCTTTTCAAGCAAGTGGCAAGTTCAACAGGATTTTGTGACCAACGCAGGCTGGGCCTCCTTCTACATGATTCTATCCAAATCCCAAGACAGCTGGGTGAAGTTGCATCCTTTGGGGGCAGTAACATTGAACCAAGCGTCAGAAGCTGCTTTCAATTTGTAAGTTATTTGCCTTCTTAAGTAACATATTTATTCTTTTGTTATTTTAGAAGCCAATTTTTAAATGTCACCAAATTTCAATTTCTCACATTGGCTTTTTTGAAGGCAGTAGGTACAGGTTTGGGGATTTTTGAAACTTTGGTAGGAAGTGGCTTCTGGGACTCTGGGTTTGGGGCATGAATACAGTTCAGAGGAAGGAAAAGAAATTGCCATTTGCAGCAGGGTTACCACTGTTACTAAGTTGCTGGGAGAAAAGGGAGTCTTCAGTGTTTCAGTGAGCATAGAAAGAAATCTCTGGCCATAGAAAGCCTTTCAAAATAAGAAAATAGCCTTTGTAGGTGAGTCTTTTAGTGTCTCAGTTTTTCCTTCAATTCTGTCATAATAGCTTCCTTTTCAATGGCTATTGGGAAGGAGTTAACACAGTTAGCATTTTTTCAAGAAAATCACTTTGTAACTTTGAGGCTCCCTTCTGTTTCAAGATCTTTATGGTGGCTCCCTATAGTTTTTTTTTTTTTTCTAAGTGGAGGTGGTGTCATTGCTGGGCATGGCACCCAAAGCCTTCTACCCTATAGTCTTTTTCTTTTCTTTTCTTTTTTTTTTTTTTTTTTGGTATGTACCAGGGGTCAACCCAGGAGCACTTAACCACTGAGCCCCATCCCCAGCATTTTTTTAATGTTTTGAGACAGGTTCTTACTAAATTGCTGAGGCTGGCCTTGAACTCACGCTCATCCTGCCTCAGCCTCCTGAGCCACTGGGATTACAGGCATGCACCGCTGTGCCAGGTGTTGTAGTTTTATAACTACGATCTGAGCTTTGTATTCTTTGCCAACATCTGTCACTGGTTCAACATACTACCACTTTTGTCCACATTGTGTCTTATCCTGTCCCATTGCCTTTTCTCTGTCCTGCCTTTTCTACTCCATAATTGGTATCCCAGAAACACCTCCTTCTTCCCATCTGAGTGCCCCTCTAATTCAGATTGGTTTTGGTTTTAGTAAGGAGGGTAGGTAGGTAGGTAGGGTGAACATCTTTGTGCATTTAGCTCTCTTCTTTGGAGTTTTTCCCTTAGGATGCATTCTCCAAGAGTTTGATTACCAGACTAAAAGAAAAAAATATTTTTGTGGCTTTTGATATTCATCACCAGATGGCTTTTCTTCAAAAGTTGTTTCTAATTGTTATGCCACCAAAATTAAAGGAGTAAGGTATTTGCAGTACCACATTATTCACAGTATTCAGATGTTATTGATTTGATGCAAGGAGCTGCTTTTCATATATGCAGTCTCAGTCCATTCTCATTCCAATGACAATGGCTAAGATTTACAAAATGGAACCAACTGTAAGAGCTAAATGGGTTAGACTTTAAGTCTTTCACTGTAGAATGGGGTGAAAGTATAGGTAATTCTCTGGGCAGAACCCTGTGATTTTTAAATTTTTTATATTTTTGGAACTTGGGATTAGACCTAGGAGCACTTAATACTGAGCCATATTCCTGGCTCCCCCCCCCATTTTTTTGGGGGGGGAGGATTTTGCTAAGTTGCTTAAGGCCTCACTAAGTTCCTGAGACTGACCTTGAACTTGGTGATTCTGTTGTCTCAGCCTACTGAGTTGCTGGAATTACAGGCATATGCCACCATGTTCAGCTGGTCCTGTGAATATTTAGATGTTTAGAGCAGTTTGAGTATTTATTTAATAATTAATTGGGCAAATGGAATGCACACAAAGTAAACCCACTTAAGTAGAATAGGATATATTCTTTGGAATCTTACCAAAATGATGGCAAATTAACTATAAAAGAAAAAGAGATGTGCAAAAATAAATGCACATGTCACCTCATACCCAACCTTACCCAAATGTGAATGGACTATCACTATCTAGATTTTTTTTTACCTGTTGCTCTGTTAATATTTTGACTCCAGAATCTAGACAGAAGTAATTTTCATATGATGAATATTAATGGCCTCAGTAATATATATTCATTTTTTTAAATCCATTTGTACCACAACTTGCACTGATGTGTTTCCTCTAATTTTTGTTTTCTCTTTAGTCAAATTTAAGTTTTTTTTGAGTCCTAGTTGTGAAACACACACACAATGTTCATATGTACATATATGTACATATGAGTGTGTATTTTGTCTTGGCTTAAGGATGAGTATCACAACATAAAAGGTTGCCAACTCTCTCTGTTCAGTGATAGTCCCTACTATAGAGAAAACTAGGCTTATTATTAAGGGCCTGCTGGGAGCCTTTGTGTCACATCATCCCACTGTACTGACTCATCAAGCAGCCACTGTCACTGCAGCCTCTGTCCTTAGATTTGGTTGTCAGATAAGGGGCTGCTAGACTGAAGTTCTGCTTTCCCTGTGTTGCCCCTCTTAAGAAGAGACCATCTCTTTTACCTCTACTGTCTACCTGGGCTGGATGCCTCCCTTCTTTCCTCCCTCCATATCTCTTGTTTGGTTATTCCCCTGTCTCTGTAATAGCAACTCGCTTCTCTGTGTCAGGACTTGGAACTGAGTCTGTCTTTGTGTGTTTACTGAATGCCTCCTGTCTAACCAGTCTTCAAGCTCTTGGAAGCATGTTTTGTAAGACTGGAGAGAAATCAGTCAAGAGATGAACAGCAGGAACAGGTGGCTTTTCCTTTTCTCTCTACTATTTTGTATTTTCTGAACTTTTCTTTTTAGAACATTTATAATTAGGAAAAATTTAGGAAAGTGCTACCTTTTGAAATTATTTTATTTCTATTATTTTTAGTACTAGGGATTGAATCCAGAGACACTTTACTGCCAAGTTACATACCCAGCCCTTTTTATTTTTTCTTTTGAGACAGGGCCTTACTAAGTTTCTGAGGGCCTTACTAAGTTGTTGACGTTGACTTTTAAGTTGTGATCCTCCTGCCTCAGCCTCCCCAGGAACTGGGATGGCAGGTGTGTGCCACTGACTTTAAAAAAAAAATTTTAGGGAAGCAAACATCTTGGTTTGGTTCCTGTTAATTGCCTCTCTTATATGGTTCCAAGCTTTCTCATGACACATGCACACAATTGTACTGTTTATCTAACAAGCCTCCATGCCACACTCTAGCCTCTTATATTGATCTTATCATCTGCCCTCTTATTGTTTTACAGAAAAAAAAATATTTACTGTGTGATGCTATCCTTAAAAAATCTGCAGTTTCTTTTTTATTGTCCTCTCAAAAAATAATAATTTCTATTTAGCCTTCATACTGTTCCTACTCCAGATCCGTGACTACTACCTTGAAACACTTCTCTTACTACCATGAAACAGCTGCCTCCTCCCACTTGTATATGCTGTGATTATAAAGGATATTGTTCCTATTGCTACTAACAAAGCTTTACCTTTTTTCATGTGAATTCTTCCACGTAATCTATGACCAGTCATTTGAGGAGAATAGAAAAGACTGGCTTTTGAGTGTGTGTGTGTGTGTGTGTGTGTGTGTGTGTGTGTGTGTGTTTATATTGTTTGAACAATTTATCTGTGTCCTTACAGTCCCTCAGCTGGTGCAAAAGTTTGATTCATCATCCAATATGCTCACCCCCACATTTGTCACCTCATTCCCAAATATGTACTTTTTAATACTTCTCCCTCCCAGCCTCCCAAGGTGAAATAATAAACATTTCTTCTAGGTTCTGGATAGAACAAGAAATGCCATAGCAAAACAGAGGACATAAGAGAGATAAGAGGAGTTGGGGAGAAAGGAGAAATAAATTTGAAGTATTGGCCAATTGGATATTTCTAGGAGGATGGAGCCAGGTGTCTGGGTTTGCATGACTTAGATTTGGGGAGCCTCTCAACTTGAAGTAATTCACAGATTGAATGACTCCATTGTGAATGCCGACTTCAGAATCCACTTCCTGGCCCTGGCCTGCTGGCCCTGGCGTGCTTTTCCTCAGCCAGGTGCTCTGGCGGTCACCTTGCCTTTCATTGTGCAACGGGCATGAAAATACAATGTTTGCTGTAGGGAAAGATAACAGCAGTGAAAATGCCCTCTGCCCCCTGTTTGAAGTCTAAGACCTTGGGAATGGAAGCAGGCCGGCTCCTTCTGCAAACTTGTTCTCAAAATCTGCTATTTCTAGTAGCCAAAAGAAAGGGCAGTAAACTATTTTTTTACTTTTACAGAGGATACTTCTTTCATTTCCTTTGTTTCTTGTCTCCAACTGGAAAACTTACTTTTTTTCCCAGGATGGAACAGTTAGGAAGGTACTCAATCTTCAGATTCAGACAAGGACCTGCTAGTAGCAAAGAGAGGTGTGTTTTCTTGTCCCACCCTCTTTTATTTTGTTTTTTTTTTTTTCTGTGTTACTGGGAATTGAACCTAGAGGCACTCTGCCCTGAGCTACATCCATAGTCCTTTTTCATTTCCTTTTTTGGTACTGGGGAATTGAACTCAGGGGCACTTGACCACTGAGCCCCATCCCTAGCCCTATTTGTATTTTATTTAGAGACAGGGTCTCACCGATTTGCTTAGTGCCTCGCTTTTTGCTGAGGCTGACTTTGAACTCTTGATCCTCCTGCCTCAGCCTCCCAAGTTGTCTTTTTAAATATTTTTAGTTGCAAATGGACAGATAACTTTATGTATTTATGTATTTATTTATTTATTTATGTGGTGCTGAGGATCGAACCTAGTGCTTCACAAGTGCAAGGCAAGCACTCTACCACTTAGCCACAACCCCAGCCCTAGAAATAAAGTTTTGAAACTAGTTTATTTTAGAAATATAGCTTCAATGAATGCGTGATCAGGTTGTCCTTCTTTCATATTCCATGGAAACAGTACTGTTGAGAGAGTAGATTGATCTTTATGACCTTAGTAAGGCTCTGGCCATGAGTCACAAGTCATCCTGCAGGAAACTTGGGGATTGTCCGCATCATTCCTGTTTTAGATGAGAAAACAAGGTCCAGAGAGGCAGGATGGACATATTTTACATCACACAATTATGCCAAGTTGTGGTTTTAACCAGTTCAGGTTCTAAACTGAACTAATAAAA